ATTTCCAATTTGAAATTATTACATATGCATATTATTATCATTATCACTATTACTGTTATTATTATTATTATTATTGTCGCTGATATCACTTTTGTACGAGAGTTAGACGATAGGTTACTACTGTGTATGTTTTTGAATGGTGTTGATGCGTTGTTGTTCGTTTTGAAACGTAATTTATTCATTCATGTCATTCAATTGATCAATCGCTGATTGAAGCAGCTTTTATTTCTCAACGATCACGTTGATAATAGATCTTAATTTTGGTCGTTTTATTCGCGAATATGATAGAATAACCACCACTTGTAATTATCATCAAATTGTTCGAATTGAGACGAATTATTCGATTCGTTGTAAAGTTTCCAATAATTCTAATTTGTTTTATTTTAATTCTATTCATCAGATTTGTTTTATCTCCGTCTTATTATCATCATCTCAACAGCAACAATTATCGTCAGTTTGTGACGTTCTTGTGAACAGAAAGCATACTTTGAAGATGAGAAGCATGCTGCAGTTTTCTTTGGAAGTATCGTTTTTCTCTGAAATTTCAGTTATTTTCTCGTTTATTCAGTGGTGTTGATTGGTATTGTGATCAGTTGTTGAGTCAGCATCGTGTATTGTTGCACTCATTCTAAGAACACTCCACATTCGCTCAAGTATTGTTGGAAGAGGTTTCGCTGAAATCGCAATTTAAAAATCCCATCCGAGAATTTCAATGGGACAACGAAGGTTTTAAATGAAGATGAGAGGAATAACACGGCGAGGAAAGGTACGTGATGGAGAAAGGGAATATGAAGAGCAATTGTTATTATTATGTATTATTATTTTGTTTTTATGATTATTATTATTAAATGTTAATTGATTTGTCAGATTGCATAACATTCGAAATGCTGATTGTTTCTTTTTTTCGTACTTTTGTACTTAATTTATACAATCTACCGGGTCGCTCTGCTCATCATTTTTTTAACGGCGGTTTTCGCAGTTGCTGTGGACACTTCTTTTTGTACTCAATCGATTTGATGTTAATTTGATCGAATGAATTTCTCGCATTTGATCAATCAAAAATTCTGTTGAAAGTTCAAAATCATTACGAACTGAATCATTCAGTTTTGTTTATTCCAAAATGAAAAATTCCAGATGAGTTGTTTATATAATTCCCCCACCGTTTCATTGAGGCCAATGCTCTCGATACTTCGTTTGTGTTGTCGTTGAAATCATCGGAGAATTTCGGTTTAATTTTTGTCCACTTAAAAATTGTTTACGATTATTGAAATCCACCCAACCGGTTCTTACGTTTTCCTCTGATAAATATTTTCAAATCGACTGAGAATTTGTCAGTGAAGAAGAAGCGTTTAAATGCAGCTATTGCTTTTGCTTTCCGTCTTTTGCACAGTTTTGTTTCCAGAGGTTGTCATCATCTCTTTGCGTTTGATTGTTTTCATTTCGTGTGTACCAATCACCAACCTTCTCATGCTGTTTTTTCTAATGAGTTTCAATGCTCAGTCATCAACCGTTTTTATCGACAATACTGTCGCGAGTAATCACTAGGTATCGGTCAATAAAGAGAAATTTCTCCGAATATACTTACAGAAATTCTTGTTTGGTTTGTTGCTTGGTACATATACGACGAGAAAAGTTTTATTATATTGTATTATTGAATGTGCCCACTCTGGTTACTACTGGTTTTAATTCAATATTCATTCTGAATATATTATATGTTATTATAAAAAA